AGTTTTATGTTTTTGACTTTGAAGCATATCAGGTATTGAATTTATTTTATCGACCGAAACAAGTAGTTCATGCAGCGACAATCGCTGTGTATCATCCGTGTTTATAACGAAAGCTTATTGATCGTTTATTATGTGACTGTTGTATCGATTTCTACTGATAGCTTTTGCTTATTATCATCAGAGACATTTTGCATCATTAAATTAAGGCATGTCAGCTTTCTTGACACCCTATAATTTATGTAAAATTTATTATTGTCATCTTCATCTTGATTGCTTGAAATTCGATATGAGCAGACCAGTCCATCAATACAGGTTATCGTATTGTTCATTTTCAACTTTGCAACAGGGCAACTTAGACGCTCGTATAATAAATGGTCAATCCAAGTTTGTAGACCAAAGCGATGGACAGATTGTAAGTTCTTTATAAAAACTGCTGAAGTTTCAGCCAACATTCGCATCCTCAGAGTGAGCAACATTGTTTCCAAGCCCTGTATTCTTCCGCTGCCTAGTCTTATAGCTATCATTTTTGTGCCTCCAGAATTTGAATAACTGGTTGCTCGCTGTTATTGCAGTGTACAGGGCCTCTTGACTTCGTTTTTCGTTAATATATCGGCAACCGGTATTCTCCCAATGTAAATCTGTTCTGCTATTTCCAACACAACTTCATCAAGTGTTAGACAGTCTTTAGTCTTGGCTCTACTAATTTTCATCCATGTACATGGTTCTCCTTAAGTAAATCAAGTGATCCATATCAGAAAACATTTGAGTCAGAGTCAAGAACACCAGCAATACGATATCATCAGCAAACGCCAGAGAGTTTACGCACATGTTGCCCACTCTTGCCGTCGTGATTTCAGTCCTTCTTATTGGTTGGAGTGCCCAGTCAGGAAACACCTCAAGCCGTAGAGGAGATTCCGTTCCTCGTTGTCTTACTCTAAACTTTGTAGTAAAGAATTTCCCGAACCTGTCATCAATCCACAGTGCACGTGACGTAAGATCATGCTTCTTTTTAATTATCCGAATAATCTTTGGTGGGATTCTATATTGTTCATCAACTTTCTGCAAAGCAGCTCTTAAGATTAAGTTAGACCTTTTGGCTAGATCAAGGAAGGTTGCAAAGGATTTCAAACTCCACTCTTCTTTTCCGTCAGCTGTCTCATTGTGTCCATCTGGCCCAGAAGTTCCTTGTCTGCTCTAAATTCGGACTGCTGTTCGCTCAAGATTTTCTGAAGAGGTTGTTTAATCCTGGTCACCATAATACTCATGAACACTTTAGCAGGAACGGATAGCAGGTCGATTCAGCGGTAGTTGCTTGTGGCTGAGCAACGGCATTTCTTGAATATTTGTGACCATAATATCTTTCGTCCAGTTATTCAGAATCTCTGCCTTCTGCCGTGCCAATCCAAAGACTTTCACTAATTTGAACTCTCCATTCATTCTATATTCTTTAATTAATTCTGGCTGTATTTCATCAACTTTTGTGCTTTGCAGCTTTTCATTTGGCTTAAGGCTTCTGACAATTCTTCAAAGATCTTCGATCCAGTGTCAATATCCTTCTTTTGCTTACACAACGAATTTTCCTTAGCAGTGAGAGCAGGATTTGGTTGTGATTCCAAGCCTTTTCCCATTCCTGAATCACTTCTGCTAGTTCGGACGTATTGTTACCGTCTTCTTACATGAAAGGTGTTAGTCGAGGCTTCCTGATGTCATTCCCATCTTCCGTTATTTCAATGAAGTGCTTTTTCTTTCCTTAGTGATGTTCTACTTTCTGTCCGTGCTGCTCCCGTAGAGATTAGTCTGTCATCAATGTTGGTAGAATTCCTCCTTTCTTGCAGTCGTTTAGTTTCCAGACTTATCCAAGACTTCTTTTGTCTTTTCTTCCGTCCTAAGGAATACTTCCCGACATTCAAACTTTGTGGTAGATTTGCGGCTGCCAATCAAGGACTAGTGCTTGATTGACTTTCACTTTATCCATCACCAACTCACTATCGGTGCCGGATTCAGCATATCTGTACACCCTGATGTTTTTATGCATGATCAACGACTTCTGGTGATGAGAACATGGCCAATCTGGTTTCCCTCTGATGCACATGGGAGGTCCTATGTGATTTTATGCAGGGTCTTATGAGGAAGCCATATGCTGCCAACAGGCGGATCGAACATCTCACACTGTTCGGCTAGTCGTTCACCGCTATGGTTCATCTTCCCAATACCATATGATCTCAACTTCTGTACAGCTCATTCGCTGGTCCCACTTTCGCATTGAAATCGGCCAAACAATCAAAATCAAAATATTACGGGTCCGACAATGTTGCAACAGCAAACTCAGCGTTGCACAAAGTTGTTTTTTGTTGCATCTCTCGCATCTTCGATACGGCGTAACAACCGACTGCTGTGAGGCCAAGTCCTTTGTACCTGGACTTGAACTTTACCATAATGATTCTGTCAGATGCAACGGTCAAGTATACGCGGGCTGCTGCATTTCTACTGACTGCCAGTACAACACGATCTCTGAGATCAACGTCTTCCGTTGAATTCCCTGTGCAATAGAAACTATTGTTTAAGAACGTTCATAACGTTGGTTCCAAGCTAATGTGTCTCTTGTATTGCTGTTGCGTGCATTCCCACACAAGTTTTTCTGCAAGCAGTGTCATCT